CACACACACACACACACACACACACACACACACACACACACACACACACACACACACACACACAAAACCCCCCCTCCTCTCTTCTTCCCATATACATACTCACCATGTTTTTACACTTGTTGAGATTGCATGACGCATATTCATAAATACAAACTTTTTCCAGCTATTTGAGACATAGGGAATCTTTAATTTATTTTAATTTTACTTATTTATTCATGAGGATAAAATCCTCATGAATAAAAGGTTGATTTTTTTTAAAACTTAATTTTTTCAAAAGGACAAAATTGGAGTTTAATAATAATAACTAAAGAATTTGCATTTCCTGCAAAAATGCACTGGGACTGCAATGCTAAATATTTTTACTGAATAGCCAAAAAAGCTGAAACTAACCCAAAAATAGCTAAAGACGTAGCTGAAATGAAGACATAAAAAAGAAAGAGAAAATTTGTTGAATTAAGCAGTAAGAATGTGAAATGATCACAAACAGGTAAAGGCTGAAATTAGCTAAAAAAACAAAGCAAAAAACAGCTGAAATAGCAGAAAGCAGCTGAAAGAGTAATTAAGATTAGCAGTATAGCAGAAAGTCTTATAATGATTGATTAAAAAAACAGAAAAAAATACTAAATTGGCACAACAGAAGCTGAAAAAAAAAACAGAACTAGAACAAAAGGTAACAAGAACTGAAAAAAATTTATGAACATTTTAACGGGTTATTGAAAATGGCTCCATTCAGTTTCAATGAGGAAAAAAATGGCAGAAAAAGCTAAATATCTCAAAAAGTATAAATTGCTGAAGCGCTAAAAATCATAGTTGGACTGTCCTGAAGGAGCTCAACATTTCAACATATAAGTTGTTGAAATAGCACAAAAACTACAAAATGTGATATGTGCCAAATAACCATACAGAAAAAAGATCTAACATAATCATAAGAAAAACAGTACATGTAAAGTACTGCTTTTATGAGTATTTGACAAACAAAATAACTTTTAATAAATATTTTGTTTATAAGAACCCAAAAACCCATCACACTGTTACCTCTCATCCCCTCCCTTTTGACCTGCTCCCGATCTGTTTTTTAGTCCATCTTTCCTTTCTCCTTCTCTTCCTTCTCACCCACCTTTCTTTTTCTTTTTTCTTTTTTTTATCTCTCCATCAGCTGCCCTCAGATTACTGGGACTTGAGGAGGTCTATCAGAAACATGTGTGGAGGTTTGGAGGCGGCCCGATGGGAAGCCCTTCGTCAAGCTGCTCGCCCTCGACTCTCCCAAAGAGCTGGAGCCAGTGGGGGAGAAAAACTCTCAGTGAGTTCAAAGACAGAAACTTATTGGCTTTTTGCAGGATATATTATTTTCCACTGAATGGGCAAAAGGAGAAAGAAATAGAGAGAGAGAGGGAGAGAAAACCTCTCACCCTTAAACAGCTCTTTAAAAGAAAACAGGATCACTGAGCTTCTGCTTGGTGTTCAGTCTGTGGTGATTCTTCCCTCCGTGTCTGACTCAGCCTGGATTTGTTTGGCTGTAAATTACAGTCAGGGACTTCACATGGAGCGATTTCACAAAAACAAACATGATTGTGGAAGATCACTATTAAACAAACTGGTAAATATTGAAATAGAAGAAGAAAAGTGGCAAAAGCAGAATATTTAACGAAGTTTATTAATTGAACCTGTCTAATCAGATCAAAATTGTATGTTGTGTTATGTATGTGTGTTTGTGTGCATGTGTAGAACCTACAACTAATTCACTGGGTTTTAACAAGATCTCAAACCAGTGCTCCATTGCCACCCTGTGGACTCTGATTGTAATGTCCCAATCTGCCTGGTGCTTTCTGAAACATGAGTTCTGTCCGTTTCTTTCTTTATTTGCCTTCATTTCTCCCAAAGCAGGATCTAGATTGTCACTTTTTTTAATACACATAAGGACAAAATCATTGACACAATCTTCTAATCTTGAGGTTGCAGGTTCGAGCCCAGGTTGAGTCAGGGAGGGCATCCAACTTTAAACAATTGCCAAATCTTTCTTGATTTGGCAATTGATCTTTGGATGTGGCGACCCCTGCAGAAAGGAGCAGCTGAAAGGAAAACATAAATAGTCTCCATAGAAGCAACATGGAGTCTGGGTTTAATAATGTGTGAAAAGCAGCATCAGATTTTAGCAATTTGTAAAAATCTGCTAAGAATTCATAGATAGCATCATTAGTTTGTAAGACCCTGAAAACATAAAACATTCAAATAACAATATATTACTTTGCATCACATTTCATGTCAATGTTTTAGACGTAGATCATGAGAAATAATAGAGTTGTAAGTGCTTTCCTTGATAAGAAAAAGTTGTGCAATCTAATGTGATATTATGACTCAAATTATATGCTGAAGATGACTCTCAGCCACTACCACATCCATGTAGATGACTMTTTCCTGAAAGGTTCATCAAAATCTGTTGTGTGGTTTGTGACATATTTAGCTAACAAACAAGATTGACTTTAAATAGTTATTGTAAAAAAATATATACAACCCCATCCCTCATGTCAACAGCTTCATTTTAAATCCTAATGTCTGAGCACCTCCATTTAATCTGTTCACTGCTGAGTTGGTAAAAAATGGGATACATGCAGCAGAACTTTAGTTTCTTCTACGTAGGTGATAATGTGCAAATTGTGAGAAAAAGAAGTGACCTTTACAGCAGAATCCTGCACAAACAACAACAACAACAAAAGAACCCTCCTTGTCTCACTTTTAAATACCAGGCAGAGTGCGAGCATGAGAACAGGCCGGGGAGAGGATGGAAAAATCCACGGCGTGTGGGTGAAGCCGCGTCATAARGGCAGCGCTAATGAGCTGGTTTTAGGGGAGGGAGAGGGGCCGTGAGGAAATGGTTTACATATGGGTTTGAAAAGGGCACGGGCGTCACAGCTATGCAGCAGATTTAATGAATCAAAGTGATCCTGAAGCACATTTGTCTCCCTGCTACTGCTAAACTGCTGCTGTTTTGACACTCAGTCTGGTTTTTATCTAACTTCTAGTGTTGTTGTGATTGTAGTAAAAGGTTAGTGTGGAAAAAAACTTTCTTATTTTAGTTTTTAAAAAAGACATCTTTACTTTTTAATAAGAAAAAAGAAGAAATCTGTTTAGTTTTCTTAGTGCTAAACTGCTGAAGCTCAGTGAACGCTTGACCAGAGGCTGTATGTAAAGATAAAAAGCAAAATTCTGCTTAAGATTACAAAAAAGTCTGATTGCTTTTCTGTCTTCGAGCCACATTAAGCCTCCGTCTAAGCCACATTAAACTCTCTTCCCATTACAGCGATAATAAGTCTGTCGTTTTAATGAGTAATACTGTAGGTGGGACCCAAAAGGATCATTCAGCTGCATCATTTACAGTTAATAAGTTWGAGGGGGGAAACTGAACTAGCTCCTCTAGCTGATATATGTGTGCTTTTCTTGACAATGCAGTGTCTTTATCTCGCATTGCAACTGAAGCAGAACATTCAAAGTGAGGGATGCCTTTTATATATATTCTGGGGTTAAAAGGGGCAGACTTTATAAGATTTATTCTTCTGCTGCCTTTCATTTTATTTTGATTTTTTATTTGTGTATTTTCTTTTTTTTATTGTACATAGTTATTTTTAATGAAATGAATATTTTTATTTTTTGAATTGGAAGAAAAATAAAACAGCTGTAGTTTCACAAAGTTGGGGTAGGTCCCCACCATCTGAGGATTTTCAAATAGGCTTAAGAAATCTTATTAATAGTCTATGATTGCTCAATAATATTTGTGTTATCGTTATGCCTTTGTTTATTAAGAAAATTAGCCAAATTTGTGCTCCTAAGCAGATTAAAAAGCTCCTCCCACTGTCGTTTTGTGAGTTTGAAGCTTAAAAGTTTGGGAACTGCTGCCCTAGTGTTGCAACGGTGGCTGTAGGTCTGTGTAGTGTTATGCAGCAGTGACACGCGTGGTGAATTCTTGATGGTGAGATAATCAGTGTGCAAAAATACCCAAAACGTGTGAAAAGTCCCAGCAGCACCATCTTGTTCCCATCTGCTGTTGTTTGGGAACAAGCTCCCAATCTGCTCCAAAAAGCCAAAGAATCGGTTCTTCCTGTTCCACACAACAACAAACAGAAACGCTGGCACACTTTCACCTTGGAGGAGACTTTGCAAACCCTTCTGTGAGTCAAAGACAGAAATAATTTATATTCGCACTGTTCACGCCTCATATTCCCTCATTTCTGACCAATCAGAGCAGACCAAGCCTCCTATTAAAAGTCATGTAACAAAAGGTGTTTTTCAAAAGCTAAAAGCTTTAAAAAAAAAGGAAATGAGAAGGTTGAACTAAATATTCACATCATAATATTATCTTTGTGAACGCTGTAGATGATGGATTTAAAAAAAATTTAACAGTTATAATATATAGTTAATGTTTGTGTTTGTTTGGTAGTTTTCCTCAGGTCAGTCTATTTCTGTATGACAGATGCAAGCCATCTTTCAGTCCTGAAAAGGGGATAATATGCATATCACCCATTGCTTCTCATGCTATTTTTAAACACAAATCATCTCATTGAGAAATAATGAATGTTTTGGTCAAATTTTGAAAATGTCACATGCAATGTTATGTAACATTGTGAGACGTAATACTCAGCATATATGCTGCAAAAGACTGTTAATACTACCACATCAAATTTTAGCTCAATATTAGTAAAATAGACTGTGTTTTATTCATTTTTATGTTTTCTAATGATAGTTAGGGTCATCTTGAAGTGGATTAGCTCCAAATGTTAATCAGTTAGAATTGTACATCTAATGAATATTTCCTGAAAGTTTCATTAAAATCCATCTTGTGTTTCAAGAGATATTTTGCTAAAAGACAGGCAGAGTTGATTGGAAACAGCTAATGAGCTTTGCCTTTCGACTGCAGACAGTAATAAACAAAATAACATGTAAGTTGCATCATAGTATATTGTACGGATGGTTGTTTGATGTTTTTTTAATCTAAAATATGTATTTTTTTTATTCAATGTCAGTATTTCATATTGTTTTTCAACTGCTGTCCATTTCAAAAACTGTAAATGTCAATTTGTTCAAACCCTTCAATAACAATTTCCAGGACAAAGATCAGAAATGATTGTATCCTAACACTAATGAGAGCTCTTTACAGGGAAACACCTAAAATAGAGATGAGTCCAATCACAGCTCTCCTCTGCCTGCAGCTCTGTGAAATGAGCAAGTTTTAATGTTCAAGAGTAATGTTTAATTATCCATACATGGCCATTTGCAAGCCTATTGCCACAGGGGTTTCAGCTCCACAACAGCCCTGTGTCTATTAGAAGAAAGTATGATTGTGTGCATTCAGAATTATTCACTGCATTACCCACGATTCATAGCACTTATTAACACAAGCAATTTCATGCATATGGATACAGTGGGTCTTAGCAGGGGAGCTGCTGATTGCTCTGAAACTAATTTCACAATCATTAGTTTTGGTGGTGACGTGAGTGACACCAAATTTTGGTTCATGCCAAGTTTGCCTGATCCCTGTGTGAGAAACAATGATCGGCTGTATGTGAAGCAGACTGGGATCTCACTTCAGAAAAATGGACAAACTTTTTGCTTCTGTAATCAATTGTCTGTCCATAAAGCCAAGGGTGAGGTTTTTTTTTTTTTTTTTTTTTCAGTCTGAAAAGCTCAAGGTGCAGGCCAAACAGAAAGCTTGTGTTGCCTCGAGGTAAAGTTAATGATTCATGGCCGAGTGCTGCGTGCTTTCCAAGTATAAGATGAGGATATATTTTGCAAAGCCTCCGGATCAACGTCACACTGTCACGCACTATTGTTCACAATAAACATGTAAATTGTGTTTAGGGAATACCTTTAAAGACAACGGGTTAATAGAGCTGATTCACAAAAAAATGATAATCACAGCACTGTGATTCACAAATAAATGATAATCAAAGTGCTGTGTTGGGTATGCACTAATGCCCC